AAGAGATTTCCATCTTTGGGCAAGGGGTGGCTTTCTCGAGATCATATATATTTCTGCTTTGGGACAATCAGGAAATAGTCGTACCTGGTTCTTTAGTTACTGCCCAGTTTCTTTCATCTTACAATGTACTCAGTAACTTTAAATAAATAAATAACTGTAAATTCACAACTGTTTCTTCAGTCCTTATGGGCGATTTGTTTGTCTCATAAAATACCAGGGCTAAACACTCATTTCTTCCTTCACTACAGCATGCTGGACATTGGTAATAAATGTGGAGACGCCTGTTCTCAGCACGTTTTCCAGAGATGCCCATGTGCACCAAACCTCCTGAGCAAAAGCTCTACCACACAGGATAGCTGTCACCTCTTTCTCTCCAATCTGGGCTTACAAATTGCGGCACTAGTGACCCCCGTTATCCCCAGCAGTTTACAGTCTGCTTAGGCTGAAAGTTTGTCATCTCGAGGCTGCGGAATCAACACACCAGGTCGCTACAGTAGTATCTATTGATAAACTGTGGCCAGCTCTGGCCTGGGCTTCCGCAGTGTTCAGGGGCTAAATATAAAAAGCCTCCTAAGGTTTGGGTCTAGGCCAAGTCAAGAAACAATCTTTCCACGGCCCTTTATCTTTTCCAAGGCAACAGTGAGGGCTGAGCAGGCAGGGCAGCTCTCGCTGTGCTTTAAAGCCACAAGCTAAGCAGCAAGGGTCTTAGCAGACAGCACAACAGCCCATGAGCCACATCAGTTTGCACTCAGCACAGCTGGCCCGCCACACCTAGGAGTACAGTACATGGAGTCTCTCCTCTCCCCAGGTGTCCCTTCCCTTGGAGGCCAATCTTCGTGTTCCACCTTCAAGCTGCCTACAGCCTTGGGCAGATTCACATACTCCACACATGTTTAAGAACCTCAGTTGCTCATATACTACCATTACAGCCTTGCAGCACTGACGCGTTACTTAATATCATTCTTCACAACTGATTTTTTTTTTAGAGAGTCTTTCTATATGGCCTCAGATTTGTACTCCTCTGTCTCTGCCTCCAAGACTGAGATTATAGGTATGCACCACTAAACACAGCCAGTGCTGATTCTCTGTCTTTTTTTTTTTTTGGACACAAGTTCTCACTATGTTGACCTGGCTGGCCTTGAACTCACAGAGATCCTCTAGCCTCTGCATTAAAGGCGTGCTCTACAGGCCCTGCCAAGTATTGACTTTTTAAAATACACAGTCTTATCCTAAACCTTATATCAAATCATAGGAATGATGTATGGATCCTATTTTTCCCTCATCTACATTAAAACATATATATCAAGGTGTCACCCCTCAGGCCCTTACTTCAGGAAACACCAACGGGATGATGGGCCTCCCCACTGCAAAGGTGCTGGAGCCTAAGAAAAGCAGGAGGGACCCGAGCGAGTGGCTGAACAGGAAGGCAGGCATTTCAGACAACCCATTCTCTTTAGGCACAGAAGGATACCTGAAGAGTTAATATGGAACACAAAAGGGCTTTTTATTCCTGACAAATGAGTTTCTTGAAATAGCAGCTTCCACCAGGCTCCACCCATCAGCCCTATCTACCTTTAAATAGAACTGTGTGAAAATCTTTTTAGAAAAGTATGCACCATTTTACAGATGGGATGTGGTGTTGATGTCAGTATCTGCATTATGAGTTTACAGATCGTTAACTCCTCAAAGGAAGCAGGGTTGTGTGTGAGACACAATTTGCAGCTACGGCTCCGGAGAGAACTGCCAGGCAGCTTTGCATCTGTCCCTTAGGAAGATGAAGCACCTGGAAATTACAGTGAAAGCAGGATTGATTTATAAGGCTGGCAGTTGGGCAAGTGCACAGCAACACAACTACTGTTTAAGGTAAGTACTCCTGAAGTAAAGTAATAGCAAAGAGCAAATTGCCTTGGATTCCTCCCAGCTGCCATGGAGGAGTGAGCCAAGATCATCTGCAGCCAGGACATCGAGAGTGAGAGCATCACCCAGAAAGGCCCCTTGGTCCCTGCACACATGCATGTGCATACATACATATTCTTGGTCCAGTACTGACTCAATTAGAAGTGTCTTTCTCCTCCTCTGAAACTGGGTGCCTTTTGTTGTTTATGTTTCTGAAACAGAGTCTACTCATAACCCATACTGACTTGGAACTCACTATGTAGCTCAGGCTGGCCTTGAACTGATGCTCCTCCTGCCTCAATGCCTCCCCCCCGCCCAGGTTAGTATTACAGGTAGTCACCACCACACCTGGATGCTGGTGTTCTCTGGTCAGAATGCATCTCACAGCCTGACTGCTTTCTTTCTCTACTCTCCTGGCCGTGTGAACTTGATCCTTGACTCTGTGAGAAAGGACCATGCCTTGTTCACTTGTCTCCTCCATGGTACCAGGCTGCGTGCTTAGGCTAGAAGACAACCTGACAGCACTTACTCAATGAACTGATGGGCTTGCCTTTCACTTCTCTGCAGCCCGGGTCTAAGGCCAAGCCTGATGAAGAAAATAGGTGTTGGAGAGGTATTCCAGATGAGCAAGAAGCTCCCAGGCTGAAGCTAACTCCAGGGGAGGGGAGGGAAGGAAAAGAAAGGAGAGGAAGGGCTGTATCTAGGCATCATGGGACGACCTGGGAGGAAGGATGACTTCAGGCATGGTGTGTGTCCCTTTGACAACCATGTGCCACCTATCAAGAACACCCTTGAGATGAAATAAGGCCAGGAATCTAGTATAGCTTTTGCATATCCCAACAAACCTCAGTTATTCCAAAAATTCTCACTGGTCCCAGCCATGCAGTGGTCAGTGGTGAGCACAAGGAAGTTGTATTCCACAACCCAGAGAAAGGATGTGCCTAGGAGCAGCATGAGTGGTACTGATGTCTGTGCTGGGAGGGCTTCTAAGACAAGGTTTACCAGGAACCTCATCGACTGGCTATCTCATGACTACTGATCTCCCAGAATGCTCCTCGGATCATAAAGAGGCTGGTCAAAACCTAAGTACAGAGGTCTTGTGGGTCCAAGGAGGGACATGACTTACTCTGGTACTCTAAACTAGCACCAGATTACCAAACAGAGATGAGGTGTCAGCATCCCACTGCAGCTCCCACCCCAAGCCTGCAGCCATTACTCCACCCAAGCCCACATATTTGCCACCTACCTAACCTGGGTCTGCAGTCTATTTTTAATCTCCATTAGCTCCTTCTTGGAGTCACACACAGTGTGGGTAGGGCAGGGCGGTGATCATCTCACGGTAAGGGAAGACTCAGGGAGTCTCAGACACCTAGTCCTAGTAATGCATTGAACACCACACCCTCCGGGGCCCATGTGGTTAGGTAGCTAGCTTTGCTGTGTGCATACTCCCTGCTACAGTGCTCACAGGCCCTCCCTCCAGGCATAGAGGAGAGAAATGATAGGCTGTGGCTAGAGTTCTTAAAGGTAGGCATAGGCGAGAGATAGACCAATGTATTGCTCCCTGCCAGAGCTGGCATTTCCCAGGGGGAGCTGTGCCCCTGGAGAAAGGAAGAACAGGGAAGAAGGCAAAAGTATTGGCAGTTTCTTCCCTACCTTTCTAGGAGCTCTGCTCTGCTGCCGGTTACAACCCAAGAAGTGGGCCAATCCTGCCTATGCCCACCCTGGGGAAAATGCTCACCCACCTGACAGCCGTTCCCGACCCCTCTCCAGCTGACTCAATTATTTTCCTTCAAGAAAACCCAAGTGACCTCAGACTCTTGATCTTCCTAAATGACCACTTGCATTAGTCAAGACGCACCAAGTCGCCAGTCTCCTCCTTGAAAAAGGGGTAGCTTCCATGGCCACACTTCACAAATGCCCTTATCCTCTGGTTGCCACGGAAACAATGAATTATTGCCCACCAGTTTCAGCTCCTCTGGGGGCAATAGAATCACATCAGTGACAGGCCACCAGGTGACTCATGTCACTGCCAAAAAGATCCCCTAACACAGCTGACTGAGGGGAAAGCCAGCAGTCACTGCCCCTGAGGACAACTGGTGCAGGGTGAGCAGGCGCTCCACCTCTCCCTCAAGAACAGCTGCTGAGAGAGCACAGCCCTCAATCCTCTGGCAGGAACGTACCAGCCCATCTCATGCTGAGTTAGGCTCTTCCACTCAGCCATGAGGCTTGCGCACATATCAGCCATTTCTCTCCAAACACGGCTTCAGCATCAGTCATAGCTGCCGGCCCTGCCCCCTCCCCACAAGCATCCAGGGCGTGTCACATTCCCACCTTCACAGCCACCAAGAAGGGGGACCCTGAGCCAGGGCTGGTCGGGGTTCCCAGTTCACACTCCTCCAGGAGAAACACATCTTCATCCTCCAGAACCTTGTCCAAAAAGCCTATTGCCTCCTCTTCCTCTTCCATGGCAGCCAGAGCCGCAGAGGGCAAACAGGAAGCAGGGTCCACGCAGCGGCAGCAGCAGCGGCAGCAGCCACCGCGCGCCCCAGCAGGGAGGCAGGCAGGGGACGGGCGGGCGGGGAAGAGCTCAGGGCAGGCCTACACCAGCATGTTGGCCTCCGCGGAGTCTGTCCTGGCACCTGGCCACCGGCTCACGATGAAAGGCTCCATTATAAACCTTTTCCTGCTGCCGCTTTCCAGCCGTCCTGCGCGCCGGGCCCGCCTCCCGTGCGTCCCCACCCTGCGAAAGGGGAAGCGGGGCCTCCAGGCAGCCACTCGCGGGATGTAAGCTGGGCAGGGGCGGCAGCCAGTGCCCTCCGCGGTCCGTTCCTTCTCTGGCCGCCGCTCGGCTAGTCCCAGGTCCGCGGCCGGGCTCGTCTAGGAGCCCCGCTGCTACGCAGTCGGCCACACAGAGCCCGCCCTTTCTGGACCCGGAGGCCGATTGCTCCAAATGCACAGGAAACGCACGTCTTGACTTGCGAGGTGGAGCTGCTGGTTCCCTCTGTGGTCACCGGGCGGGCGAGCGGCTGGCGGAGGCTTCTGGAGCAGAGGAGGAGGGAGGGAGGAGGCCGCAGACAGGCCGGGCGGGCGCGGTGGGGGGTGGGGGGAGGTCTGCTTCCCAGAGACAAGCTTTATTTACAACTTCTCGTCGGAGCCCTCCAGCAAGGGGGAGCAGGAGACCGGCTACCCCAGAAGCCACCTTTCATCCACTCAGACCATGTCCCCGTGGGATCATCACAAGTCAGAGCCCCCTTCGCACCTCGGCCTCAGGCTCCAGCACCTTCACGGAGGGGAGGCCCACTGCCGGTGAGAAACCGCAGTTGCCATTGCAGCACGGTAGAGTAAACACGGCTTTGTACTTGTACAGAAGGGGACTAGCCTGCCTCATGCTCAACTGGAGCATAGCGCCAGACAGGGTCCTAAGCACGTGTCAATGGACACCACGGGCCAAGCCACATAATGGTCAGGTGCTGCTAGCAATGCCACTTCCTTTGAATACTTCCGTGCCACACAAGGGGTGAGCCAGCTCTACAAGGCCAGGACACTCTTGGACAGGTGGCGTTATCCACCCTCCATGCTACTAGACTGCTTCCCTCTCTTCCCTCAGTGTCTTCCATATTCCTGAACCCAAATTCATGCAGGGGTGAGGCTCACATCCCAGTCCCCTGACCCTAAGAGACACACACCCATGGGGGAGGAGTCTAGAGCCAGTTGCAGAAACTCATTCACAACTCAACAGCCAAGGCAACTGTGACACATCTTCAGCACTCATTCAAAGTTCAGGTAAGGCAAGCACCATGCCACAGAGGGCCAAAAGGAGCTGAAGCCCCAGCTAATTAATGTTCCCCACAGGCAACACAGACTCAACGTTTGCAAAATCTGTGTTCTTTATGGTTTTAGTTTTGTTTTGAGGCAGGATCTGTGTGTAGCCAAGCTAGACTTGTTTGCTCTTTTGTTGTTTTTATTTTACTGTACTTTATTTTACTGGACATGTATGATTGTTTTGCCTGCCTCTGTGTGTGTGTGTGTGTGTGTGTGTGTGTGTGTGTGTGTGTGTGTGTACACCAATGTGTGTCTCATGCCTGGGTCAGAAGACATCAGATCCCCTGGAACAGTAGTCAGGTTGTGAACGACCATGTAGGTGTTAGGAACTGAACCCAGGTCCTCTGCAAGAACAGCAAGTGCTTCTAACCACTGAGCCATCTCACCAGCTCCCTATAACTGTTTTTGACAGAGAGTCTCTCTGTGTGGTCCTGGCCATCCTGGAACCAGCTATGTAGATCAGGCCTGGAACTCAGAGATCTGCTTGCCTCTGCCTCATCTTGTGTTATCATGCACAGGGGAAAATACGAATGCTTAAATAAAATGTCTTGACTTTAAAATGAAAGCAAGTAATTTTACATTTTTAAAAAAGCATAGCACACTATAAACCACATCTTTGCTCCGAGCTAGGCTTAAGGATGGCCACACTGCCTTTATTCTTGCAACTGGTTGTTAGCTGTGGTTATGTGGGAGGAGTTTCCCCTTAGTGTCCCGCTGACCCATCTTCTCTTAGAAGATTTGGCAGCCTGGAATAAAACTCAGCTTCATATACCAACCTACAACTTTATCTTTGTAAATCTGTGTAACAGATGCCACCAACCAGGTGGTGCAGAGTCCGAATCTGTCCATCAAAACCTCACCTGCCTTTTATGACCAGCCTTTCATGCACAACACAGTAACTTGTCAGTGGCAACCATATGGCCACAGGGCAGAGTCAAACTGTTGAGGTCATTTCCAAAGGAAGGCTAACTGTCCCAGCTGGGGCCTACCATGTCAACCCCTCTCTACTCTATTGGGCACCTTAGCTGAGAAGCAGCATGTAGAAGGCCGGGGGGGAGGGGGGAGATAAAAGGGAATGAATATAGTTCCTTATCTTCTTATTCATTAAAAATTTTTCTGGAACTCTGAAGTCTGGGAGAGGTTCTTGTCATTCTGTCAATAATAGAAAACCTGCCCTCACCAGATGCAGGTTCCAACCTGTCACCAAAACTCAAACAGACTGAGAGATATGTTGGGTTCTCTAGGATCTGGGCCAGTCCGGGTCTATCCCACCAGGGTCCTGCAAAGACATCTCCTACCCATTATCCACTACTTTCTCTCTCAGTCCTGTTTTGCTCTGGCTGAGTTATAAATAACCAAGACACATTTGAAGGGCCCTCTTAAGCCACAATTCCTCATTTGGTTTGGGCGGGTAAGGCTGTTCCCATGGTTTGGGAACAGCCAAGCTTGGTGTTCCCTAGGATACAAGTGTGCCAGCTCAGGGCCCTATGTTACAGGTTCTTCTGTCTGCTACCCTGTGGCCTCTCCGTGTGCAGCGTGCAGTGCCCAAACTCTCAGAGCAGCAGGCAGCACGGGACTACAGGGTCCTTCTGTGCCCCTACTGCCAACCTGAGAAAACTTGAGGCACCTTGGAGCAGTCTAATTTTAGAGTACCTTACCGTCTCCACACTCCTACTCATAGTAGATTCAGCACCCACTTCTTCTCTAAACCCCTGAACCTCACAGAAGCTGCTCCCCAAACATCCAAGGCTTAAATTACCCCACCCGTTCCAAATGGTTGGAAATTCCAGTGAGTAACAAGAATGTCCCCTTCAGTGGACACAGAGGCTCCACTCACAGGCCCTCAGTCCTCCCTCTGGAGGGGAAGTGACTCATAAATCCCCAGAGTGCTCCCTCCCTTTCCCTCTCAAATGTTCAAGAAGGCCCCAGACCTAGGTTTCCTCCCTACTTTGATTGCTCAGCCTGGTTCCAGACCATTTTCTCCAGAGAAACAGTAACTATGAACCCTCTGATTTTCTCAAAGTCCTCAAGCCTCTGGGGCCACACAGTGGTTTTAAGCTGATCTCTCCTCCTGCCTCCTGTACACGTGAAGTCATGGCTCAGGCCCTATCTCACAGCCCAAGCTCCCATCCTTTGGGGAACTGATCCCATCTCACTGTTCTGCCAATTGGCACACATCGCCACCTCCAGGCCTGAGACTTGCATAGGCAGCTGGATCTCCTCACCTGGAAGTCAGAGCAGCAACCCCCTCAGCTCCTCAAATCCAGACCAGTGAGTCCCTCCTCTCCCCACACCAGTTTCCCCTTCTGCCTTGAGACTTCCATCAGTGGGCTGTCAGCTTGTGGCTCTTTGTGCCCATGGCCCCACACATCCCTTTTACTAAATTCTTTGGTTCTTCAATCTTTCCCTCTTCCAAACCACAACCCAACTAGGCTTTGCAACACCTCACACCTAAATAGCCCTAAAAGCATTGCATTCGAGCTCCCCATCTTATCTGTTCATCTATCTGCTCACATGTGCATTCATATCCCAAGGAGGCCTGACATGTGTGACCAAACCCCAGCACTGGTATACTCAACCAGAGGTGAGGGAAGCATGAAGAGTAGGATAGAATGAACAAGGGTATCCATGCCAAATAAGAACTTCACTGAGAGTGTCTGCTGATTCAGTCAGTAAGGCAGTGAGAGGGCAGAGACTGAGAAGGCCAGGTGTGGGGAGCTGAAGACTGCAGGCTTTGAGAAGGGAGCCTGGGGGCTTCTGAATAGCACCTGGAAACAGGGAGGTCTTTCCAAGCAAAGGGAGGAATGCCTAAAAGAAAAGTTTCCTCTTTTCGTTCCTTTTTGATGCTGAAGCTGGGACTCAGGGTCTTGTATAAGCTGTGTCACACTGCAGCCCTAGAGACAGTTTCTTAAGGAGCTTCAGGAAGCAGTTAGGAGAGAAAAGAAGAGGGGACAAATACACAGAGGGCAGCTGACATAGGAGCATGAAGGACAAGGATCATGAGTTTCCTATAGCAGTAGGGTACCAATGGAGACTTCAGACACAAGGACCGTGAACTTCCTATAGCAATAGGGACCAGTCAAGACTTCTGACACCCACTATGCCCATACCTCAAACCCTGCAGCGAGTTGTCTCTCTCACTTGGAGTCTCTCTTTTTCCCTCTCCCCCCTCTCACTCTCACACACACACACTCACTCTCTCTCTCTCATACACACACACACATACATACACACAAACACAGAGAGCTTTTCTCACACTCAAATCTCCATCTGTACTCCCTTACCAACTCAATCAATCAGCACTTATTAACTGCCCACTGTATACCAGGCATTGTGCCCATGTTCAGAATGTAGTTGCATATTCTGTAGTTGCAAACAGAGAACACTGCCCTTTGTTGAGCTAATGGTCTCAGGAGCAGAATGACCATGTGATTGACTCCCGAGACTGTGCCAAAGGAAAAGCAGGATGGGGAGGGGCACATTTTAGTTGTGATGTTGAGGTACAACTCCAGAAAGGGTAACATGGAAATGGCTATTGTGATTTTAAAAGTTCACACCCTCTGACTCAGCAATTCCACTCTAGGGAACTGTCTGAAAAAAAAAAAAAAGCGCTGCCAGAAGGGCACAAAGATGAAAGTATAGAACTGTCCACTGCCAAGAGTCCAAACGCTGAGTGAGAGAGGTGGAATCTGGTGTGATGGTACACTAGTAATTCTGGCACTCAGGCAAGGCAGCTAGACAGTGGTTTAACACACACACACACACACACACACACACACGCACACGCACACACACACAATCTCAAAACAACACAAAAAAGTGGCTTGATTAGGACTAGAAATATAACCCAGAGTCAGAGTATTTACCCAACATATGCAAGGCCCTGGGTTCAATCCCCGGCATTGTCTCCTCTGTGCCCACTTTAAAAAAAAAAAAAAAAGCAGAGAGAGGGAGAGGAGAGCTGGCTAGCTGGATTCTGGTATATCCATAGAATGAAATAACCCAAAAGGAATGCAGCAGCTCTTAATTCCTAATTCCAGGTATGCAAGTCTTCACCAAGTAAAATAACAAGATACCTACCACTAGTATGATCTCTTTTTAATACATAGTCTACACATAGAAAAAAATGAGGAGAAATAAACTCTCAGGAGTTCTCTGTAGGATGTGAGTGTTCACGCACTAGATGATGTGTTTCTGATCAGTGAGAATTTTGAGTATGTAATCAGAGAAAATAAAGTTATAAAAAGAAAGAGCTGGGGTATAGCTCAGTCACAGAGCAAGTGCTTAGCATTCTCAAGGCTGTATAACTGCTCCCCCTCCCACACATACACACAGTGCTATGGCGGGAATTTAGAAGGAGCTGGGAGGGCACAAGCAGGTGCATCTGATACAATAAATGAGAAGCCGTGGGAGACTCTTTGGAGGAGGTAACATGAAAACTCAGCCCTGGCTGAGCATGGCGAGACATGCTTGAAATTCTAGCACTTGGAAGGCTAAGACAAGAGGGCTACAAGTTCAAAACCAAACTGGGAGACTCTGTCTCAAAGAAATAAGGGCAAGTAGTAGAATGCTTTCTTCACACGTAAGTCCTTACCTTCAAGCCTCAGAACACAATAAAGTTAAATAACAATGAATGGGCAGGCCATACTGATAGAGACTGGGAGATAGTCTTGTGGAGTCATATTCCAAATTGGAGGTTGGTGGTAAAGCTTCAGAGGCCAGCAAAGAATCAAGTAATCGAGTGTGACAGGGTGGGAAGCTTTTTTGGGTTTCACCATTATAGCCTCAGGGAAGGTGTGGAAGGGTTCCAGGCGAGTCACACGACCATTCTCTGATGTACTCCGCATCTGACATCACACCACTCATTCTCAAACACTGCTCACTCTGTGCTCAACAGGAAGCCACTAAGTCAGACCAAGCAAGGGCAGCTGGCCCCATTGGCTCCTCACTGATGACTCAACCCATCACACTGGTGACAATAACTCAAGAAAGGGCTAGGCACATTCCCACCTCCAGGCCTTTGCAGTTTCCTTGGCCTGAAGATGTTCATCCAACTCTCCAGGCAGAAGCTCAAGCTACATTACCAGGCTGGGGAGCTGGGCAGCCCCCTGGAGCAACGCCAAGGCAGACTCTCATCTCCCATGCTTGCTCCTCCCTCTGCCTTCCCTTCCATCACAGCAGACAACACTGAAAAGATTGCTATGAGTCTGGCTTGGTCGCTCATGGCTGTCAACTTCTAGGGAAACAGAGACAGAACTACCATAGGTTCAAGGCTAGCCTGGGCTACAGTGTGATACTGTCTCAAAACTCATATAGAATTCAACAGCATAAAGCTGTTTGGTATAAGCCAATGCTGTTTATATGGTAAAACAAATTAACAAAATCAGGGGCTAGAGAGATGGCTCAATGGTTAAGAGTGCTTACTGCTTTTCTAGAGAACCTGGGTTCAGTTCCCAGTACCCCCATGATGACTGACAACTGCCTGTATCCCAATTCCAGGGGATCTAGCACCCTCTTTTGGCCTTTATGGATTCCTGCACACTTGTGGTGCACATACATTCATGAAAGCAAGCGCGCGCACGCACACACACACACACACACACACAAATACTAAAGCAATAAAGTGTTTTTAAAAATTTAACAAGGGGGCCTGATAGATGACTCAGCAGTTAAGAGCACAGATTGCTCTTCCAGAGGACCCGGGTTCAATGCCTAGAGCCACATGGCAGCTCACAACTGTCTGTAACTCCAGGATCCAGCAGCCTCACACAGACATACA